TTCCTTCTGGTCAGTGCATGCCTGGTCTGTACCTCTGTGATGACCAAGTTTCAACCAGCTCCGCAGGAAAAGTACGTAATTATGAAGAGAATACACACCTGCAGCAATCAATAATTTAGAAAAATAAGCAAACAGGACACAGACGACTAAAATTCAGATGATCACCAACAGTCAAAATCTCATACTTCTACTGTGGTGAAATTTTCCGCATGCATCTTTCAGACTGATTTAGTGTAAGGGGCATTTTTTGTTTCACAGAGGAAAGAAGCACAGAGAAAACAAATGTCCTGGCTTGATAAAAAAAGCGAAGGAGAAAAACAGAAATGAAAACATCTGAGTTTCAAAAGTTTCATCCAAGCACTACTTCCCCGAATCTGTTGGTTTTGGTTTTTTCTTTTTTTTTTTTTAAAGCCCACTGTAAGAGAGAATAAAATTTGAACAGATTTAGATTGAAACGGGGATTGCTGGATGTAAGACATACATTTAGCAACTTTTGTTTACAGTATAGAAAAAAGAAGTCAGCATTTTTTGTGCCTCTATTTAGTAATTTTCCTTATCATTTTTAGACAATTTGAAGAGAGGCAGTCCTTCAAGCTAATGTACAAACTTCAGCATAAAAAGCAATAAATGCATGTATGAGGGACAGAAAAACTTTCCAAAGGAAAAGCTACAGTGATGGGATGATCAGGACATTTAGCCTAAGTGGATCTTCTATGCACCTCTTAAAAAGCTGGCTGCTCTCACTCACCAGTGCTTTCAGCTTGAGAATCTGGTTGGCGGTGGGGACAGTTACGCACTTGTTTTAATTTAAGGACAATACATGTAAATTTCTACACCTCAGACATTCCTTACAAAAGAGTCCGATGCTTTTCACTTTCTCAAACCACTCCAAACTCTCAAACCCTTGCTAGGAGTCGCCTTTGGCAGATGAGATGGGTGGTGCCACAAGCCACAGCACACAGTGGACCCTGGGGAACCCGGCTGGCACAGGCAGGTGGTGTCAGAGCAGGGAGTCTTACGAACAGCGCTCGCAAGGCCAGCAAGGAAGCTGCGGAGAGCTGTGCGTGGGCAGGAAGTGAGTGCGACAGCGGGGGGACGAGCCCAGCACGGCACGGAGGCGTGCAGGGGTGTCATGGAGACTGTGACGAGCACAAGTGAATGCAGGGTCAGCTGCTCGCAGGCAGAAAGGGGAAACAGCAAAAGGAAAGATTGCGGAGGCAAGCGGGGCTGAAATAGTTTTGGGGTACACGGCAGGGCCTAAAAGTTAACTAAATGGCTATTAGCAAGAGCAATTACAAAGAAGCAGAAATCTTGCAGAAACATCAAGTTCTCTTAATTGACTGCCTGGAACTTGGCAATTCTCTGTGTTTCTCAAGCTGAGCCAAGTCTAGGATTTTCATGCTAGAAAAAGGCTACTGCTCTGCAAGAGCTCAACAAGTAGTTTTCCCTTAAATTTGAAAAAACATAATTAGGTATTTTCCTCACTGATAATTAACTAAGGTAATAATTAAGTCAATTGTTGTCTCTGCTTCATGTCACACCCACCCACAAAAGCTCTTAACTCAAGACTAGCTCTTCTTTTAATTTGTGCTGGCTGAACATCAGACAGTGCATCGGAAGACAAGGATACAGCACAACTCAACCACTACTAAAAGAAAACACACACCCTAGAAAGCAGACATGGACCAGCTCCACTGGAGGAGTAACTCCGCTCTTTCGAAGCTGTGCCCTTTGCAGCATCATCATGCCTAGAAGCTCCCATTAGGCTGCCACTGCATACAATTTTCCTGGTGTGTTCAGGGATAACAGATGAGAGATTCCTGTAATAGTTTAGCTCTTTAGAGGGCAAAAATATGTGTGATATTGCTTTGTGACCAAGACAGATTGCAAACAGATCCAGTGATGGTATAGAAACAATTCTCTCTCAAACAAGGCCAAGTCGAGAGCAGAAACTTGAGGGGACATCATCTGACTGGCAGCATAGTGAACGCACGCAATTTGCACAGAAGATGCTGAAAGCATTAACAATGGACAAATGCTGCCAGCTAATACCGGGGATTTCAGATTCAAACAACCTTCCAGATACATTTCAGAACGACTCCAGTGTCATCAGATCCAGCTAGGTACAAGGCATCACCTGCAAACGTAGAACTCCTACCATCCCATCCAGGAGTTTGGAGGATACATCAGTTTCCCTAACAGTACAGATGAGCATGCCAGAGAAAATTATCTTAAACATGCATCTTTACTGAGCAAGTTCCTCCTGCTGCCTGTTACAACCATGCGCTGTACGGTGCGGAAGAGGAATGACACCACTAGAGAATTTGCATTCGATTCACTCTCCCTTTGCCACCCCAGGCACCTGTGGCAATTTGCCTTCCCTGGAAGACTCTCTTTAAGGTCTCTTTACACAAGGAAGTTTGGACAGCAACCTCACAAGCTAACCCTTTGCTATTACTTCTGCCTTTACAGCAAGTAAAGTTTTCAGCCTATACAGCAAGTCATACATATGCTGGTAAGCTGCAGGCACATTTTGTCTGTTAGGAGGGCCAGCCTTCATCCCCAGTGGGTACGGAGGTCTGGGATTGTTTCAGAAGATGGAAAAGAAAACAAAAACAACTGGCCCACAGACACCCTGAAGTTTTCAACTCCATGAAAAACTGCCTAACATACTTTCCACACAGCTGAAAAACACTAGTAATCCTGCAGAACTTGATGTTCATAGAAGAAATGAGTAGTGCTAACTTGCAACCTGCTTCCAGGACGCACCTAACTCTGTGACACTTCCCTAAATAGGAAAGTTGGATACTATTCTGGAGGCAAATAAATAAATGCACAAAATAGGATGGATACAGTACCACCCATATTATCTTGGAGAATACAGTGATACTATCTGACCTTAAGAAAAGAAAGAAAAGCCCATATATATAAGTTTCAATCTCACCAAGCTGCAAACATTATGGTGACTGCTGCTACCAAAACCTGTTTTGATCAACGAAGCATGCACAAAAGTACTTGTCACTAATCCTGTTTTACATTGGCCCTACACCTCTCAGGGCTCAGCTCAGCATGGGACTGCCCTGCAGCCACTAGAGACAAACCCCATGGCAGCTCTGCCCATGCTGACACATTACCAAGTGCAGTAAGGCAGCTACACGGCCTGAGGATGCCAGCACCCCCTTGGCAGTGCACAGCCTGCAAGAGCAGGAGGCAGCCCTGAGCACCACCCACGCCAGGAGCTCCCACTGCCACGACAGGGCTGCAGTCTCTTCTGCTGCTGGGCTACTGGCAGAAGGGAGCCCAGGATATGACCCAGTGCTGCCAGGTTGTAATTGCCTCAAAAATGTATAGTGGATTTGCAGCTATGTGTCAAACACAGCAACAGTCTATTCCCTAACGATTTTAGTTGCACTCAGTGCTGCTAGGATGTGATCACTAAAGTTTCTTTGGTGAAATAGACCTACGTAAGAGGATTTTTATTATATTCTTTTAATTCACAACATCAAGATAAAAACATGAATTCATTTTTTACTTATTGATTAAAAGAAAGCAAGGTAAGAAGGCTGAACAATGAGCTCTTTATTGTCCTGTCTGAAATCAAGATAGAGTAGGCTGACCCAAAGTAAACCACTGAACTTTAGTTTACACTGTGTGTTGAATGACTGCAGTAATCTAAAAACATGCTGCTGTGTGCATGAGTTACTAGAGCTAGGGCAATTGTTTTGATGGACTTGGCTGACTACAAACAGCTGTCCTGAAATAAAGACAATAATTTAAAACATTTCTGGTTCTACAGTAAGTTCAGCATGTTTTTGTTTTGTTTTTTCCTTAAATTCAGGATTAAAGCATGGCATGTATTTTGAAGCTTGCTAGAAATCCAGTTCTCAGCCTCTAATGAGGGTCTTACAGGAATTTAGCATGACTCCTGTAGGCATTAAAAAAGCATCTGAAATGTCTCCAGGCTTTTGCCACACATAAATGTTTACAAATCCTTATTTGCAGAGTTACTATTTGTGCTTGAAATCAGAGAAGCACAGAAGAGTCTACACATTCTTTTTTTTAGTTCTGTAATTACAGCAGATTATTCATAAGAAAGTCACTGCTGAAACAATACAACTTTGAAGTAACTGTATGAATTTAGAGTTATGAATGACTTATTTTAAATACATAGCCAAAAACTGTGGGCTTTTAGGTGTTAAAAACATCACCTTTCTTGATCTGTAGAAGCTCAGTATGTCAGTAAGCGATAATGGTGCTGTTTGCAATAGGTCATTTACTTAGCAATCGCACTGCTGTGTGCATTGGCTTCAATACGAGGAAGTCAAAAAGTCTGGGATGTGTTTTTTTCACAACACGTTTCAGTTTTGAAACTCTTTGATACAGTTACTGACAAAAAACATAGTTTTTCTTGTAGCTACAAGAAGTACAAAATACGTATACCACCAGTTGATGAATTTTGACAAGAACTTGGAGAAATTGAAAGGTGTTGATAAAATTATTTCATTCTCTTCTTATTTGTTATAGCACAATCCTTCCGTGCAGTGGATTCAGATGTCAAAGAACCCTTTCTCTACAGAATGACCAGTAGCAAAAAAGAGCAACAAGTAGGAAATGCTTAAACATAATTCCTTCCCAGACAGCTTCTGGTAGAAAAAGAAAAAAGCAATAAGAAAAAAACAACCGGAATACTGACATGGTGTTTACCACGCAGTACTGCTTTTTGAGGACAGTGACTCCACCTTACCATACCAACTTAGAACAACCAGCTTACCAGTAAGATGGTTAAGCAGTTAAGAGCTAGTAGTTCCTGGGAACTTAAGTTTTTCATCTAAGCAGTGTCTGTATGCTGAAAATTTGGTCACACTGTAGGTTGACCCTACAACTTGTAGAGTGTTCAGCAACAAATCTGTGCACTGAACATAGCATTTACGTGGCTGTGAGGCCATGTTCAGCAAGTTGATCTGAGGAAAGCTTTTTTTTTTTTTTTTTTTCCCCTGCAGGCTGGTTTTCCACTGGAGCAACTTGCTGAGTTTGTTCACTATGGCAACACAAGGCCTCCCTATCTGATGCAAAGGAAGTGGTAAGAGTGCGTGACCAGGGATGGAGGGAAGGGCAGGATGACTCTTCTCGAGAGCAGCCCACAGCTAAGTCAGATCAGCTATCATGTCAAACTACAGCCCAGGGGTAGGTGGAGCAACTCTGCAGCAACAACTTGACTGACACCCCGATTGCCTGCATCAGCCCCATGCTTCAAAATTAAGGAAGGAGCAGCATAGTTTTCCTATGGGTTCAGCTCCTTGAAGTAGCTGGCTGAGAGGTCACATGTACGTTGGTCTTTTGACAAGAGAAGGAGTGGGGCTGTAGCAAGCCAGATTTACATCTGTTGTGGAACTGCACTAATTTAGTCTACCTCCATAGTCGCCAAAATTAGGGAAATCTGATTTCTGAGATACTTGTAGACATTTCCAGGGCAAAGCTTCTGTTGCTATCCCACAGCCTCTTAAATTTGCATGATGGCACTGTCTAGGCTATGTGGCCAAAAAGACACAGCCAACTTACATTGCTACTGTGGGGGAGGAGAAAAACAGCAACCTTCCAAACAGATTCATCATGTGATGCCAGTGAGGAAAGACTTCAAGAGGCACAGAGGGGGAAAGAGTGTTTCTCCAAAAAAACTGAAATGAAAAACTGAAAAATACAGCTCCACCACAAAAGCAAAGGCAAGACAGAAAACAAAACCAGCCAACCAGCAACAATCTTGCAAAGGGAACTTTTGTTTCAAGCAATCAGATAAGTTCTACTCACCATTAAAGGGATTGATTTTCTTTGAGATTCGCAAAGAAATTGATTCTTTCAGGTCTTTCTTCTTCACACACTGAATTCCCAAATTCTGAAAACTGAAGTACACATGATAGGATTTCAGCAAGTAATAGAATTGTGTAGAATACTAGAAAAATCATTTGCTGAGCAATACTGTGATAACTTATGGTTTAAGAAATGAAAAAAATGCTTCCTTTGACAAAGGTGTTAACAGGTCTCAAAGTAAGGATATAATTTTTCTAAAATAAGAGCAAAACCAGAACTGAAAAAAAACTACTAAAATGCAGTTCTAAAGAGGAATATATATTTCTGTATTAAAACAGGTAAATCTGCAGTAAACCCACAGTGATTAAAAATTAAAATACAGTCAGCCTCAGGTAACCGAAAGTGAGAAGTATTTAAAGCAAACCTTCTTGTTTGCATTAGTTAAGAACTTGTGCTCTTGCTTTTATCAGGGAATGTAAATCTTACACACAGTTTTTAAGATTTTTGACTCAAATAAAAGCACTTTCTGAAATCTCATGTAGCTACGGAAAAGTTCTGAAGAGCTGCAGCTCTCCTTTATTTGCATAAGAGTATAGGTCACCCCAATGCAGAAGGTGGGGGGAGTCCCAGGCAAGATGACTGTTTCCCACATGGAAAAACCATGACATCATCAAAGCTGAGTGGATGTAAAACAGGAAGTTAGAAAATAAAAATATTTAAAAAAATTCATGTTTCACAATGTTACAATAAGCTCAGAAGACAAACCATGGCAATAGGCTCTAACCATCCCTCCCCAGAACCAGCAGCATTCCTTCCTTCCAAACACAACAGAAGTTCTTTAATTATACCTAAAAATCAACTTGATCCACCTTCCTGCCACATCTCTCAAGAATAGTGCTACGTTTTCCTGCTCTGAAAAGACTATCCAAGTTTAATTCCCCTAAAGCACTTTGCCTGTGTCCTGTGCACTCTGTTCATTGATTCCCAAATTCACTGCATTCAGGCTCCACTTCCAGAGCTTTCACTGCCTGGAAAAATGCTTAAGCTTCCCTCTGAACTTGACACAGTGACCCAAAAATGAAAACAAACCACATCAGCATGTCATAGCTCAGTAGATTGCTTGGGTTTCATATGTGACTACTGACACTGGAGATTTGTACAATCCTTTTTGTAGATACTACTCTTCTAGTGCTTGATGACAACACACAACTTAGTTCTTTCCTGATTATGCACTTTACTCTGCTAATTCAGTTTGAAGCATACTTCAAGTCCACAGAAAGACCTGGTTCCATCCTACAGCCCCAGACTGCCATATAAAAGGCCCAGACTCTCCAGCAATTCACCTTAAGTCACAGACATCAGCTGAGCACAGATACAGAACTGGCCGCACAAAAGCTGTACGCAGCTTTGCAAGGACCAAGAACCTTCATACTGCCTCCTCCAACCACTGTGAAGGAAACCTCTTGGGCAAAGAAACCAGACTTTTAAATGCCCCGTAATTTCCGGATTATAAATGTTTTCTAAAACACGAACCACAACAGTGCAAGTGTCTATTTAACTACTGACAAACAAGGACAGGGTCAGAGAAGAAACGATCAAAAAACCTCAGGAAGCCTGCAGGGTTTCACATAAACACTTGCTGACAAGATGCAAGCAAGATAACAAGAAGAGAGGGACAAATAGGATGAGAAAAAAAAAAAAAAAAAGACAAACAAAAAAAAAAAACATTAAAAAAAATGACCAAACATTAAATCTATCATCCATGATATCATCCATGCAGAGAGATGTGAGCTAGGAAGTGAAAGTCTTAGTATGCAGGCAATCATTTGAGCTTCAACACTGATACTTTTACTTTGATATGAATGGGACAGAGGGACGTGATCAAGTTCAGGCAGCAGCACAAAGATCAGTCAACAAGCAATACAGAAGGTTTTGTTCAACTACAACTACACAGGGAACTTAAGTAGAATACAGTCCAAAATCTGGGTATGATAATTCCAGTTACACAAAATAACTGCGAGTTCTTCTGAGATGCCCAGCAAGAGTAAAGAGTTAGAACCACCAAGAGAGGACATCTCCTGCTCACTTGTATTGTAGGAGGCTTTTCTCTAACATGGATGCAAAGAGAATGTGAGGACTGAGTCACCAGCCACAAAAATGAAAATGACTTGAATTGCTCCTTCATCTTAAGGCAACCAATGATTTTCTATTTCTTTCTTTGTTTATTTATTAAGAAGCGTACCAAACGCTGGAAACTATTCAAAAAGAGCATCTTCCCATCAGGATCTTGAATTTCATGCTGAACTGAAGCTCAGTTTCATTTCAGTACATAGGGAAAGTATTAGTACATAGTAAAGGGAAAGTTACGTGTCAGCTACATATCAGCTACGTAGTAATGGGGAAGTAGCCTGGATACTGGTTTGTTAGATTGTTAACTTGCTAACTTCTAGAACTACTGATAAAAATAATGAACTCCATTATTTCAAACAATCATGAATGCCTTAAATGAAATAGAAACAGCATTACATCAAATAAAATGATTTGATACATGCATATAATAGACATGAAATAAATACAAATTTTGCAAAGCATCTCAGTGCTTTTGGCATTACAGCTTATGGCTAATAAATTCAGGATCTCTAAGGGCTTAAACTTGTGCAATGAAGTGCCAAGAGAAAAAACAATCATCAGGGTCTTCCTGTGCCCAGTAGATGTAATACATAACCAGAAAAGGTGCTAAGCAATTGGGCTTTACTGCTTCAGATCAGAAGCCCTGGAGATGAGAACAGCAAGCAGGATGGGGAAGAACAGCAAGCACTGTTTGAACTTGTGTAAGAAAACATGATTTGAGAAGACACGAGGCATGGTAGTGAACGGATGGTCCTGGAAGGTGAAAGGTCTCTTAGCAATTTAATATATCTATGATGGCCACATAGACAAGATGAACTCTTTGCAGGGAGGCCAATGAAGATAATGTTAGAATAATCAAAGTGGAAGATAAGTATCTGAAGAGACAGTTCTATCTTTCTATTATGGCGGAAAAAAATAAATAGGGAAATGGCATTAAGTTTTTTCTACCATTTATCAATTAGTACAAAGTTGAGAACAATGCTAAGAACAACAACAACAACAACAAAACAATAGTAAAATATTTTTTATCTGTAACAGCAAACGTCAGATAACAGCTGAATATGTTCACTATACATTCATGATCACTTGAGCCTGAGCTGTATGTTGTAGAAGTATCTCCACTATTAAAACTGTTTATTGCACCATCAGGCAATTATTATCACTAGACAGACTGTGTGTCTTCAGTTCCCTCCTTTAATAGTATTGTAGTGACTAAACCCACATAAATACAAAGTAATTTTGCTGATATTAACAGCATCACACCAGACTTAAAGTCCTAAGTAAAAGCTACTTACACACTAAAATATTTACCTTCCTTTCTTCCCAGCTCAGCTCTGTTTACTAGAAAGAATTAGCCTACTTCCAAATCTTCTACAACACAGGCCATGAACTACAAACAGCTCGTCAATTTTAAACTTCTCTCTACAGCTATAATCAGTCTATATTTGTTGCAATTTACTCTGCTTTCACTTTATTACATAAGACTTGGTAGACTTGAGGGAAATATACTACATACAAGTGTAGTCTAGACATTCCTAATATCCCTCTGAACAGCACTGAGAAATATATTTCATACAAAGCCTTAATTCTTCTTTACTACTTCCATAAATAGGTCATTTCCCAGCAAGGCTGAATAGAATCTGTATTTTCACCAAAAAGAAAGACACCACCACCAAAAAAAACAAACCCGCAATATTTAGCAATTGTTGCTGCTGTTTCTATTTGCTAACGCATTTCTAAACAGCTGACAATCATCGCCATCTAAACATGATATTCAGTGCAAGCTTTCCAAGCTTTCTCCTCCAGTTTCCAGAAAGTCCACACACAATTCCTGTGGAAACATGAATTACCTAAATCTAGGTAATTTATAGGCATTAATTCAAGTGTTGTCATTAACAATTCTATTAGTCATTGTTTTTGTACACTGTGTGCAGGAGAGATTGTCAAGCTCAAGTGCTACTGCCCAGGACTAAAGAAGCAAACAAGTGGGAGAAAGAAAATGGAGACTGGCACGCAGAGAATGAACAAAGAGAAAAAGGGAGGTGGGAGAAGAACAGAACAAAAAAAAGGAGCACGTGAAACACTGTTAAAGGAAATAGCTCCAAGAACCTTTGGACTCATCTCCAAGATGCATCAGCATGTTGT